TGAAACTCAGTGGAAATGCCAGTATGGGTGAGAATCGTTTTAATTTTAAAATGCCGTTTTAAACGCACTAGTGTAATCGTAGCCTTACATTTATGGGGGTTGGGATGCTTACACACTACAGCCTCACGTGTGAGCCATGTTTCTGGGCATAACTGGCATGAACTATCGTTTTTCCTTGATGCCTCACCAGCACTGGATTTAGGCACATTAAGAATGCTGCATCCTTATTGGCTTACTGACGTTGACGAGATTAACCCCTTAGTATCTAAATTTGGTACCGAATGACAAAACATTTTTTGATACTCGATGGTATTGAGGCAATTCGGTCGGTGCCTAAAAAATATCAAACTCGATACGCAACCCTATCATTTTGCAATATCAAGAAGTAAAACGAGCTGTTTTGTACAGCGAAAAATAGCTGGAAGCGAATAACACCGGAAGCCAGACCCATTAAATCTACAATTGAAAATAATCAATAATGTTATATGCAGTGTTGTATTTTTAGTTATTTATTTTTCTCCCAATAACTCAAGATACAGTTCAGTGACCTTTATCTGTTTTTCTTGGGCAATAATTCTGGAAATGTTCCATAGCTTTTTGCTACGTTGTGTCCAAGTCCACCTTGTTGAGTTGAGTCTGAGTCCTTAACCAATTGAGTTTGAGTGGGAGATATTTATTTTATGTATATGTATATGTCTTAATTTTATGCTGTGCAAAGCTAACTGCCATTTTGACAGGAGATGGGGAGAAGAGCTCTCAAGAGCTCAGTCATATTTTATGTTATAACCAGTGGTAATTAATCAAAGGTGGTATTACACACAGTCAAATAAAATTGCGGATCACTACACATCAGTGAGTGATTGCTCTGTTCTGGTGAGTAATAGCGCAGGACTAACAGTGACATGCCCCAAGCCGCAGTCGGACATAGAGTAGCTTTGGGCTTAGTCTCCAGAGAATAATTCCACAAAACACCTGCTTTATAGCTGTACTTTACTCTTCTCTAGAAAAATCTCCAGTGTACAATCGATATCTATCTCTGTGGGAGTGAGTGACTTGGTGTGATATAAATAAGCACATTTTCAAGAACAATTAACGCATATGTTTCAAAGGGTAATTAACCCTTCTACAAAAACACCTCATGACTGGAAGAAATCAACTACTCCACCTAAATGAATAAATAATATATCGGACAATTGTATTTACATTAAGTCTTATGGGTGTGATTTAAAGACCAGGGAAAAGTAGGCACCTTAAGGCACCCATAAGAGGACAAATTAGATAAGATCACTACATTCATGTGCTAAACAGTCAGTCATCTGCTACAATGCTCATCGCTGCAACCTTTCATGCAATGGGAGTAGATCTAAATATAATGCTATAATCAACACTCCATTATTAGGTAATCTCAACAGAGAGAGCTCCACACATACTACTTACTTATTTCATAAATGCACAGGTGTTAGCCAATCCTAGCAGTGGGCGTTTCCATTGAAGTCTAACAGCAGACACGCCCGTTCCAACAGAGCAACATTGTCTTATGTAGCATGATGCTACAGTGTGCATGAATGGTCACAAAACATGTGGACGGAGATCTTTCCTGAAATGCAGTGGAAATGCCAATATGGATGAGGATCACTTTAATTTTAAAATATAATTTAAAAACGAAAACGCACTAGTGTAAATGTAGCCTTACATTTATGGGGGTTGGGACGCTTACACACTACAGCCTCACGTGTAAGCCATGTCTCTGGGCGTAACCGGCATAAACTATTATTTCCCCTCAATGCCTCACCAGAGCCAATGACCAGCAATTGATTTAGGCATATCAAGCATGCTGCATGCTCATTGGCTCACTGATGTTACATTAAAAACTCACTTACAGTAAAGGTCTGTTTGCAATGCCTGTGTAGCCGGGTAAGGTATAGCCCAGGTATGATTGGCTGATGTCATGCCAGCCTGTGAACTTATCAGTGTCCCTACTCCTTTGTGATTGGTTAACATGGTTTAAATCCTATGAACCTTTCAGTGTTGCATTGATGATATAAAAAGGGAAGGGTTTGATTACTTGGGATGCATAATCCTTGGTACTAGACCTTTGTGAAAGTACGTCATTATGAACAAGGGATGGGGCTTGGTGCATCCTCCTGTTAAGCAGTCAAGCCTTTTTCAGGTTAGTCTCCCAGTTATAAAAAGGATTGCTTTGTTTATATAAGGAGAGGCTTTATTTGTTGTCGTCTTTTGGTCATCAGCATGCTAGTGGCCGTGGTGTTGCGTGGTGAGCTACCATGCATTTTGCTACATGGTAAATCTCTCTCGGTATGTATGATGGGAGCTTGTCATGTGTTTCAATGAGTGTAATATTGTAGATAATCTCTTTGTTTTATGTTCAGCAGGTGTAACTGCACATCCAGGGGTTGCCAGTAACTTGGTTGGAGACGAATGAACATCAGTGATGTGACTGCACTGCTGCTTTGTTTGTAGTGTTTGTTGGTTGACTGTTTTAACTTTGTCTGTCTTGGTCTTAATTTGGTTAACTTGGTTTGTATGGGTTCTCTTTTATTCATTCATGAGCAGCCATTCATTAATTTGTGTGAGTTAGCAGGGAGACAAGCAAGATATTTGGCCTTAGTCGGCCATTTTATTCCTCCTGTTGGTGCAGACGACTGCTCATTTTTATTTGTTTTCTTTTTTTGTTTGTTTTTCTTTGTACAAGTAGTTGTCGAATCTGTGTTTGTGGACTCCTTTTTGGAGTAGATTGTTCTGTTGTGGTATGAAAGTGAGTTTTGTATTTTTGAATGTGTCTTGACATTTTTACCAGTTAACCATGTTGTCATTTAGGAGTAGAAACTTTTAAAGCGGGGGTTGCAGTCTTTTAGCGTGTCCACATGGAGTGCGGTGCTTAACCAATTGTATTGCTTTCACAACCGTGTGGTGTTGGGATGATGTGAGGTGAAAATCCAAAAGGCCCCCGCTGGCCATTTCTCTTCTACTGGTCATTTCTGTAACTGGTAGATTTGTGTATCTGATTGATTAAGATTGTGTACAAAACCAATGTGTCAAACTAATGTTTCATTTGTGTATAAATAAATGGCTTAATTTTTATACTTTGTCTATGTCTCCATGCTCACCCTCCATGCAACGAACCTGTGTGCCCTTTTATAGGGTTGTTATGTCCCGGTATATTCCGGGTGGCGTAGACGATTATAGGATTTGTATCCGTTGTTTTTGGTAATTTCCCCTACCTGACCACTTATTGCCACACCTGCACCGAAACAGCGACTGATAGTTGAAAATAATAAGTACTTTCCTAGGACTAGTAGTCGTTGATCTGATTCTGCAGAGGTGGTATTTTGTTGTGCTATTCAACATAATGTGACAAAATCAGAAATAAGTCATTTTCTGATCTTGGTTTCAATAAAAGTTGTTTTTAGACTAACAAGGAAGTTTTGAGCTCTGAAAGCTACAGAATGTTTTTATAGTACAATGACATCTTACATGTCAAAATGTCAAGGAAAATTAGTTTCTCAATTCATGACCTCTTTAACATACTGGCTACATTCACATCGTTTTGTGTTTATAGCACTTCATACAATGCAAACTGTTTTAAAGCATCTTTAGAGTAATAAACAGAAAAGTAAAGTAACCGTGTTAATGACAGACATGTATCAGTTTTAAAATGACTTCAATTTCAGCTTGTAAAGAAGTTCTACACAATACAGTAGTGTCATTATTTAGATAATTCAGATTCAGTTCACTTCAGTGTCAGTGTGAATGTTGTTCATCAGTTATAAAACAATGTCAATTTCAGCTATAATGCAGCTCTATAGAAGAAAAGTGTCATTAAGTTTGAAATTACTTTTTTTTCATCAGGTGACAGTAGTGAAGGAAGAAGAAAAAAAACTTTGGCAAAACCATGCTCAGTTGACCAGTTCTCCTCTGGCCTAAAGGATTTATGATTCCAGGCTAAATAACAAGTCAGTATTTTTGTGAACTGAGGTTGTAGTATGACCCATATGAAACTTGAATATAGAGTATCGTAGCCAGCAGTATAGGACTGGCTTATCAATGACTATTTGCACATTGATCTTGCCAGTCTATGTTGTGGTCCTAGCTGGTCCTGCTGTGTTGTCACCATAGCTGGCCATAGGGATCTTTGCAGAGGGCTTGTCTAGTCATCAGGGTCTTTACTGAGGATCTTTGCTGAGAGCTTGTCTAGTCATCAAGGGGCTGTGTTGTGATATTTTCTAGGTGCAATTCCACCATGCGGTCTGGATACAGGCTGGATCTGGCTGACTATGGTAAACTTGGGATAAGAGCGACAAACACTCTAAAACAGGGCTGTCCAAACTCGGTCCTGGAGGGCCAATGTCCTGCAGAGTTTAGCTCCAAGTTAATTAAACACACCTGAACCAGCTAATCAGGCTCTTACTAGGCATATAAACTTCCAGTCAGGTGTGTTGAGGCAAGTTGGAGCTAAACTCTGCAGGACACCAGCCCTCCAGGACCGAGTTTGGATAGCCCTGCTCTAAAAAATACTGGGTTAAAAACAACCATTTCCGGGTTATTTGGCACTGGGTAAATATTGGACAGAACACATGCTGGGTTATTTTGACCCAGTTTTTTAGGTTTGCTGGGTTGTTTTTTTATATAGTGCTGGGTCAGAGAATCTATTGAAGGTTTTTCATTTTATATAATAAAAATGCACTCTAAAACCTGTTTTATATGTATAGGACAAGAACAGTTCATCTACAATATTTGTATTCAATGGCAAGTCAGTCTTTTACAGTCATAACATACTCAAAAACATTCTGTAAATGTTTTAGGATGTGACAGGAGCTGCAAGAGCAGCCAATGGTAATCTGTGGGAAGAAAACTGCTATCAGTAGGTTGTTCCAGTTCATTAAATGACTTATATTCATGACTTATCTTATATTCATATTTGAAAAGTTATAACAAAAACAGCTTTACCTCGTGCCATCTTGTCAGTCAGTCATTTGTTTCATAGCGCGACCACAGCTGCAACAATGGCGCACTAGATCTATAGCGCTCCTGTTGTAATCTGTGGAGTGCATGGAAACTTTTGTTACATACAACAGCGAAGTCGTGTCGTGTTTCAGCCCTGGTCGCGCATTCATTTGACGGGAGGTGAAACTTCTGTGGTGGCACCGGCGCATTGCTCGCTTAATCCGGTGAATGCTGCATTTGTAGAAGGCTAGCTGGGCTAGCAGACGTTAGCTGGGACGTATATTTAAACAAACATTTAAACAATAAACTACAGACGTTTTCCTATTTATACAGTAATTATTTCATAGGAATACAATATAATACATACCTTAATTTAATTCAGGAAGTTTCCCCATCGGTCAAGTTTTTTGTCAGGACAGAACACAAAATGACCACTGACAAATGTATCCAGTTTTAACCGGTTTGACTACCCAACATTGGGTTACACTGACCCAGCACTGGGTAGGTATGTGACAGGATTCATCATTTGTATTGACAGTAAAAATGACTCAGCAGCTCAGTTACAGAAAAACTACCTAGTACCTGTGTAAAAAAATATTAAAAATCACCCAAAAAATCACCCAACAAGCTGAACCCAGCATTTGGGTTAAAAAAAGAACCCACAATTTTTTAGGGTGCAGACAGAGACTGATGTAAGTATAGATGCCATTCCTCTTTCGATGTATACATCGGGTGTTATGGAAAGTGTTCTCATTTCTGGTTGACCAAATTAAGCTAAACTATTCAGGAATTTTTAAGTAATCAGCTAATTTTTTTAAATGTATGCAAGAATTAATAGGATACCAATGCAGTGTTGACAGGACCAAGCTCAAAGGATCCTGTCACTCAGCTGCTGAGTCATTTTTACTGTCAATACAAATGATGAAACCCGTCATATACCTATCCAGTGCTGGGTCAGTGTAACCCAATGTTGGGTAGTCAAACCGATTAAAACTGGATACATTTGTCAGTGATCATTTTGTGTTCCGTGATCAAACTTCTTGGTTCTAGTTAGCACTGTATAGCAGCTATAAATAAATTGTACTACCTTATCTCGAATAGACCACCCCACACTTTCGTTCTCTGTGGTCAGTAGTGCGCGACTGAAAAATGCATATCAGTCAGTGGCTAATATTCAGTATATGAAAAAAGCAATTTATAGCAGTGACATCATCAAAATATTTGCATACTGATTTGTGTTCGGATGCAAATGTATTTTAGATGCACTTTTAACCAGCCGACAGAAAACAATGTTTCATTATAATGGCAAAGATTCTCTGATGCAACATTTTATTTAAACAGAAGCAATCTTACCTAAAACTTCATTGCTATTCTCCTTCTGCCAAACACTGCTCTTTCCTTTAGGAAATGCAAATCTGGTTGATCATGCAAAGTGGATATTCTATTTTTAATGCATAACGTGAATAAAATATGATAAAAAATAAAAAAAAACATTTGAAAAAGATTTGTTTTAAAGTGTAATGGTTTATAAAGTACCTGAAAGCCATACTCAAGTAAAAGTACAGATATCCTACCAGAAAATAACTTTGGTAGAAGTTGAAGTAACCGTTTAGAATATTACTCGAGTAAAAGTCTTAAAGTATGTGATATTTATTGTACTTAGGTACGAAAATTATTTTTTAAATCTTAAACGTACTTAAGTATTAAAAGTACAAGTAAATGCAAAATGGATGTTCCATTTTGTATTTTGGGGTAAGAATAAAAAGCACTTCATCTGGTATTTAGTGTTTTTCATTCCAACATCAGAAAATATTTCTGATATTTGAAATTATTTAAAACATGAGGAAATCCGCCAGTAGGTGACAGCAAGTGACTGTTAATGAGTGAGTCATTGAGATTCAACCGATTCATTCAAATGACTGATTCATTCAGAAACAAAGCATTTGACTGTGTTAATGAATGAATCACTGAATCATTTATTCAAACGATTCGTTCAAAAAGCTATTTCATTCAATAAGTAAACACCGTCCATTGCTCAGAGACGCAAAACAGTGCTGTGATCTTTGTTTGGACATCGCAGATGATGCTGTATCGCACATCCCAGACTCGACTTTAGTGGAAAATGTATCATCCGGCGGTTGTGCACGCACTTGTTTATGAGCATGAGTCTAACTTGCAAACGCCAGACCACTGATTCGTCAAACCTGCTTTCCTGCAGTCCGTGTACTTCTGACTATTTTGTAGTAAGTAACAAATATGCTTCAGGGAAATGTATTGGAGTAAAAGTATACATTTTAATTAGGAAATGTAGTGGAGTAAAAGTAAAAGTTTGCTGAAATATAAAAACTCAAGTAAAGTACAGATACTCCCAAAATATACTTAAGTACTGTAACAAAGTATTATTACTTTATTACATTACACCACTGGGTATCGTTGTCTGCTTCTGCCCCCACCCACAACCCCAACCCCCTACTGTCTTATTCCATCCAGCCCCTATGAGCTAGTTTCATATCTCTCTTCTCTTTCGTTTAGCATACATTTCAGACACAAAATCCAATCAGGTCCCTTTGGCCTTGTGTCCTGGCTGTGGTTCTGACCAAAACTACAGTTCTCTCTTATCTTGCCACGTGTTTGGCTCATAACACCTGTCATTGCACAAGTAACGGACTTCAGTACACCTGCTGCTGTTGTTCCCTTTATTGATCAATACACAGCCTGCCAGTCATCCTCTTTACATGGCTGGATTGTGACCTGGGACAAACATGGCATAAATTCCTTTTTCAATTTGACTGAAAGTAACAAATAGTTTCCTGCTGTTAGGAATTGCTGTCAGGAATTTTGTTTCTTGATTTGTCCTCTCTCCAGGTTCATGGTCATGGAAAGACTGGAAATATCAGGGAATTTAAAACAACAACAACAACAGCCTGGAAATATCATGGTACTTAAAGAATCAAAAACACTATCGGGCAGACAATCATTTGCTTGTCATAAAAAGGTTATGGAAGTTTCTTTTATGAACATACATTTTTGAAGTTATGCTCTGAAGTATTTTATTGGCTAGATATTGCTTGTATGGAGTAAAATTTGTCTAATTCTTTTTGTTAACACCCCCCCCCCCCCCCCCCCCAAAAGACAGTTTAAAGTCATTATAGTGTTAAATGATAAAAAAAAAAAAAAAACATAAATAAATAAAAAAACAGAAAACATTGAATAGACATTATGAAGTAGGGATTCCTGGGTGGAATGCTGTTTTTGTAACATGGGAAATATGATTTTCAAAAGACAAGTTGCTATCTAATATAACAACCAGATTTTTGACTGTAGAGGAAGTAACCGTGCATCCGTCTTGTTGCAAATTGTAATCCACGAGATTCTGTGTACTGTCTTTTGGTCCAATTCTTTCTGCCTTCCGTTAAATGTGATTTTATATCTCCAGATTGTAATTTTATATCTCACAATGTGACTTATATCTCACAACTGCAATTTTATTTCTTGTAAGTGTGACTTTATATCTCATAATGTAACTATTTGTTATTTTAAACTTTATCTCACAATTACTCTAAGGTAGAATGATATTCCCATTTTAAAGCCTTCTTAGTCTTAGTCCTTCTTAGACAGTAGACTCAGTTACGTTTCTTGTTTTGATGCCACAAAGCTGGTGTTTACATGCTAACAGCAGGTGGGAAGAGTGAATTATTCTAGTTCACTCAAATTCGCCATCGCTACATCTGTATTACTGGCTGTCATCCATAAATCCTAAAAACACAAAGGCATATTGTCATTTTCTCTGAGATGGGATTAGGAGTTGTGAGAGGAAATTATGGAGAAATAATGCCATCCATCTTTCTCTTGGCTGTAGGAGCTCTCAGCTCTTTTGTTTACGTCAGTCATGCATTATTTAGCAATGCCTTAAACATAAGCAAGCAGTGTGCTGTCATGAGAACTAGAGCTGCCTCATTCCACAGAGAGAGAAATGTGCCTGCTTCTTAAAAACATGGCGAGCCGACACACACACACCTTTACTGCAGATTTGATCTTTAAATAATCTGCCGTGCATTAGGGTGCTGTTCATGAGCAATGACTCAGTCCTCTGTTTCGATTTGAACTGGGTTACAGTGTTGTGTACACAATACTGAGCTGGATCAATACACTGTTGTAGCAGCAGCTTTGTGACAAAATGTGATACACAGTGAAAAAGAGCGTGATCGTTGACGTGGCATCTGTAATTTTAGATTTGTGTAGAGTGACGTTAGTGTTCCTGGTATTTTGGCCAGAAACATCAAGCACTGCATAATTTTAGGGCAGAATTATACCGAACTGCTTTGGCTGATGTAACCATGGTAACGGAGGATTAAAGCAGCTTGCACCGCAACTTTCTTCATGTGTGGCTGTAGCTAAGTTTTAATGCAGCTCCCCAATCTGTCACTGTCAAATCCTCTCTTAAAACTCCTCTGTCATTCAGCACTGCTAAAATATTTCAGTAGTTTAACTCATTTAGCATAGGGATTTTAAAACTGATAGCTGGTGCACCCAATAGTATCTGGGTTTATGTATAGACTCAGAGGTCGATGCTCTTGTTCATTAATCTAAAGATCTTCGATTAGACTTGAAAATATATTTTGCAGTATGTGAAAAAGCAACAGTGCTGACTCATGGTGACCACTGAGAACAACTGTAATCTGCTACATATGTGTGAATTAAGAACATAGATTTTGACAGTTATTAGTATATTTAAAGAGTTTTTCTGTACTCTCTGGAGAGCTAGATCAATGCTAGAAAGTCTCGCAAGGAACAAGGATGTCTGTAGCAAGAATATGACCAAAGTATTTTGCATGTTGATGGAGGACATCTGTTAGAGAACCGCACATTTTTGCATGTGCTATAGGAGTAAGATGGGGTAAGATGCCCCCGGGGCAAGATGACACCCCCACCTTAATTATTATTATTTTTTTCTTGACTATAGAAAGCAAAAAATATTATATCAGCACTTTAAGTTTTTTTATTTGTGTCATTTCTTCTGAATATCAACATTTCTATCGTGACAACTCTTGGAAGATTTTAGCATGGTAATGGATATGACAATGATAATGTATTTGGTCTTGGCGGAATACATCTGCTACGCTGCTACTGCTGAATTGCTGTTGCTGTTGGTTATTGCCTGCCTTGTAGATTATTCCTGCTGCTAAATCAAAGCAAGTACAGGAACTTGCTACTGCCAATACATATGCCGATACGATGCTGTGAGTATTCACTGTACAGCTGCTGCACAAGTAGCATATTAACATAATATAATATATATAATATAATATAATAATACATAATATAATATAATAATAGCAGATCTATACAGGTGGAGCTGGGAAAGATGGAGGTTTTCAGAGGAACTCTGAAAGTGCACTGCGAAATTCTCTAGTGAATGCTAACCAGCCATTTAAATCTAAAGCAGTAAAGCTCATTAACTGCATATGCAACATGAAACAATCAGCTTGTGCAAAGTAGTTTAATGCTGTGAATATCATCAGATGCATTAACAACCCATCAGCCTGCACCATCTAGAGTTTCATGACAGAACTTGGCATTTGTGAGATTTCAAAACAGCTTTGAGGTTAACCGATGTAATTTTGTGTCAGTTATGTTGTTACTTGTGCTTATTGTTACTTATTGTAATTAATGGGGTTATTGTTTAATATTTCTCTGTATTAGATGTAGCGTCTGGACCACTCAAACACACAATATATATTGTTAGCTAGATTTAACAAATACTCTGTAACACCCCAGGAAGCCGAACAGGCCCCTGGTTCCATAACAACCCTGACATCAGATACTTTTACGACCTTGTGGAATGTGAGCAGAAACTCTCACTGCATTTTCCAGAAGCAAGAGGCACAAATGCACAGTAGAAATGGACTTTTCTACTAATTAATTAATAGGAAAACCTTTCTTTGAATTTTTTTTTTATTTATTTACTGTAATAACACATTGGCTGATGCATCATCATTGTGCATGTTAAACTTATTTCTAAATATATTAAAATTTAAAAGTAAATCCACATCTTCGGGGGGGAGGATATCTACAGAATCTACAAAAACTGAAAGCAGCAGAACTACTACCTTTTTTTTTTACCAACAAGTATGGCACGTCGCTGTTTTTATGTCTCATTATATTGTCCACATAGTCTTAATAATTTCAACATGCTCTATTATAATTATATTTTTGGGGGGTGAACTTAAATCAAGAGTAGAAAAAAAACACAGTTTCAAAATAGCTTCCCTAACACAATAACAGATTACCATATAGCATTGTACAAAGTAAGATTTAGTTAGCATATTTATTTGTTCAGCAGCTATTTCAGTATCTGGATTTGGAGTCTGTATTTGCAGGGTAAATGTGAGTGTAAAGGTGAATCATTATTATTTATTAATTATCATAAATTCTTGGAAACACACGATGATGTGAGTGGGCAGCATTCGGATGTATTTATATAGCAGGGGAGTTTCTCAGAGGAGGTCGATTTGGATGAGAAAATAATCAGTAATAATTCAGGAAATACAAAAGTATAAAAATCTTTATAGAGCATGACTGTAGGAGTAAGATATTAGGGGTAAGATGTGAACTATATTTGCTCCCTTAAATTGAATTGAAGTGGCATTTTTAGTTTAAAAAGGATTTTTCTATCATTTTCTATCATAGATGCATCATCTTTTGTTAAATTCTTACTTTTCATCATTAAAAACAGTTCGAATAATAAAACACTATAGGGATGTAAACAATGCCCTATAAATGAATGTTAGTGTTCTAGGAAGTGGAAGCATGGATTTAAAACTTGTAATTACAATGTTTGAATATCATACAAGAGCATACCAAAATGCTAAAGCAAAACTCAGTTCCTGGAGGGGTGGAGCCTTGCAGAGATTTGTCCCAACACACATACCATATAGTTTTCAAATAACCCTGAAGGACTTGATTAGTTGGATTAGGTGTGTTTAATTAGGGTTGAATCTAAACTCTGCAGGGCTCCGGCCCTCCAGGAATTGAGGTTGACACCCCTGAGCTAAAGGGATGGGGTACCCTGGCAGAGCCAAAGAGTTTAAGGGTTAAGGCGCAGTGAAAGGTTTGGAAATCCATGGTGGAGCCAGGGTAACGACTGACAATGCCAAGGCTAGAGGGACCCTGGTGGAGCCAAGGAATTGGAGAGCCGTGGTGGAGCTGAGGGATTGTAGGGCCAATATGGAGTCAAGTGCTCGGAGGGCCGAGGTGGAGGCGGAGAGTCGAAAGTTCTAGGCTTGGGCCATGACTCAGAAGACCATGGTGGATATGAAGGGCTAGGAGACTGTGGAAAGGCTAGCTCCAGGACTGATAGGGTTGTGGACGCTGGCTCTGGGATGGACAGCACAACTGAAGTTGGTTCTGGGATGGACAAATTCTTTGGTTGGGGGTCTGTGTCAGGCATGTGCACAGGCTTGGGGTGCATGATGGACGAGTGCGCAGCCTTAGGGTCCATAGTCAAGTCAACTCAAGTCACCTTTATTTATATAATGCTTTATACAACAATTTTTTGTTTTAAATTGTTAAACAGGAAAATTGTTTGTCGATAATGCAAGAGGACAATAGTAAACAGTACATTTTTCAGTTAAAGTCAGGTCATCGTTGATTCAGTGATGTCATTGTCCAGCTCAGTTCAGTTCTCTTCAAATAGTGTCTGTGCAGTCATATTGACAATATTGCCAGAAATGAAGTGTCCGAAACAAAGCAAGCCAAAGGTGACAGTGGCAAGGAACCAAAACTCCATTGTTGACAGAAATGGAGGAAAAAACCTTGGAAGAAACCAGGCTCGGTGGGGGTGGGGGGGGCAGTTCTCCTCTGGCCAGACAAAACCAGCATGGTGTGGTTTAATTCCAGGCTGCAACACAAGTCATATTGAACAAAAGACTCATCTGGTTCTCGTAGTCTTTGCTGAGGATTTGTGCCGATGGCTGACAAGGTCTTCGTAGGGGATCTGTCGGTTACACTTTATTTCGATAGTTCACTTTAGACTGTAAGTAACTTTGCAACTACATGTCAACTAACTCTCATTAGTGCATTTATAGACTGTTAGATTAGGGTTAGTAGAATAAGTTGCCATACTTGCAAAGTTACTTATAGTCAGTAGAACGTCTGTTGAGCGACCATCAAAATAAAGTGTTTGCAGATATTAAGCAGACAGTTTAATAATACTCTAATGATTGCTAGTTTATATGTAGTTGCGAAGTTGTTTATAGGTAGTAGAATGTTTAAAGTGGACTGCCAAAATAAAGTGTTACTGATCTGTCTCTAGGGCTCATCTAATTGACATGGTCTCCGCTGACATTCAAGGCTATAGAGGTAGTCTCTAGGTATTGATCCACCATCTGATCTGGATACGGACTGGATCCGGGTGGCTACAATGACCTTGGAATAAGAATGAAAAATACTAATATTAGCATAGATGCCATTCTTCTTACAATGTAACAAGTACATCAGGTGTTATGGGAAGTGTTTGAATTATAGAAAAGTGATAGTGTGTTATGTTTTTGCCAGGTTAAAGAGATTAACCTGGCATAGTGTATAATCTAGATTCTAGATTCAATATAATTGAATCTAGATTCAATTATCTATAGTCTATAAGCTAGATTAAAACATGCTAGGTAGATTGTTCCAGAGTTTGGGCATTAAATAGAAAAAGGATCTACCGCCCACAGTTGATTTTGATACTCTAGATCAGTGTTTTTTGTTTTAGCCACGGCACAGTTTTGATCAGTAAAAAATCCAACGGCACACCACTAAGCACTGAAATATAGCAAAGTTGCACAAACATGCATTGCTAAAAAATGGCAAGTAGTACTCACATTTAATGTGAAACTTAGGCTTAAGTCAGGTAGAACACAAGGTCATAGGTTGCTTTATGTTGAACATTGTTGTTTATGGTGATGATAAAACAACAAATTTACATATTGTTGCTGTCGGGCGGAAACCTTGTATGTCCAAAACAACTACTTTCAGGAAATGTAAAAAAAATTGCGAATGACGGCAATATGTATTTTGGCCCCATCTGAGGCAGTGAGTGTGTCGCATTACATTTTAAACAACTTATAGGTTATAACGTTTATTGTAGCTATATGGGCATAGTTATTGTAGTTTATTGTAGCTATATATACAGGTGCATCTCAATAAATTAGAATGTCATGGAAAAGTTAATTTCAGTAATTCAACTCAAATTGTGAAACTCGTGTATTAAATAAATTCAATGCACACAGACTGAAGTAGTTTAAGTCTTTGGTTCTTTTAATTGTGATGATTTTGGCTCACATTTAACAAAAACCCACCAATTCACCATCTCAACAAATTAGAATACTCCATAAGACCAATAAAATTTTTTTTTTAGTGAATTGAAAGTAAAAGTGAAAGCCTTCTGGAAAGTATGTTCATTTACTGTACATGTACTCAATACTTGGTAGGGGCTCCTTTTGCTTTAATTACTGCCTCAATTTGGCGTGGCATGGAGGTGATCAGTTTGTGGCACTGCTGAGGTGGTATGGAAGCCCAGGTTTCTTTGACAGTGGCCTGTGAAAAAGTGAATTTTCTTTTAAGTGAAAATATTAGGGTTCAGTGCTTAAAATGTGGTGAATCATTTAATGCTTAAATGAATAAATAACTAGCCTAAACAAACAAACGAAAAAGTAAATAAATCTTTAAAAATAATAAATATAAATAATTGAATCAGGAGGCGTAGATGACTTGTTACATTTCTCAGGCTAATTGAAATAAGTTGGAGTTTATCTTATAGTTTATCTTTCTTTCTCATTTGTTGTTTATTTCACTTCATGGTATTGTTCTGTCCTGTCCCAACAACATAAATGCCTCACTGAAATATCTAAAATCTTAATTTTAATGTAAAAATTAAATTACATTTAAAGACTCCATCTCATAAGGCTGCGGTTCTCTCGGTTGGTTGTGCATCTTTTTCTTCCACACTTTTTGAGTGTGTCCTCGCTGCAGCCTGCAGCACGATGACGTGGCTGGACTATATCCACTACGTAGTGGATATTTTACGCGCGTGCGCTGTAGTAGGTCTCGAATAAATTTATATTTTTATTTACATTTTATCATTTTGCAGATGCTTTTATCCACAGCGACTTAGTCTAACGACTTGGTCTAAGTTAAGTCTAACGCAGTACATGTAGCAAGGGTTTTTGACCTACATTACATATCTACACGATGACCTACATTACATTACAATGTAAAAACTTTAATGTCTAAATTCATCTGCGATGTTTTCGTCTATACCGGCAACTTCAAAGGTTTATTTATTTAATTATTTGTTTTTTGAATAGCCTGCAATTCATATGTTATCGCCAGGATGCACATCAATGCTGTATCCATTATTATAAGGATACAACAAGCACTGTAACATGACTGATATGCAGACGTTGCACTGTAAATAGCTAATTATTAAGATATACTTCTGTCATGAAAACAAATTCCTCGTATGTGAAAACATACCTGGCAATAAAGCTCATTCTGATTCTGATACATCACTCTATCAGAGTTAGCCTAAATGTCTTTTTGATTCTATCCGTCATGTTTATTTAAATTTAATTGGGGGTATTAGATTAATCCGATCCATTTTGTTTATTTAGATTTTATATTATTCTAATATAGCTAGAGAGAGAATGGAATGGATGGTTTATGTCTTTAGCCATTTATAATCCCCCTCCAGGGATTTTACTTGCATATAGGCCTAACACACAAAAAAAGAAATGGTCATCTTTGTGTTAATATGCCTTGTCCCCGACCGTGTGTGTATTTATTTGCTGGAAAATGGGATTAACTGTAAAAACCCGGTATAACCCGGGATAACAGATCTATCGGCTTTACGGAACCCCGACTGACAGGATTGTTTTTCTTCTTTTTATTTTTATATGGTATAAAAATTATGTCCGCATATTTTAGTAGGCCTATAACTTTTTTTATACTCTGTCACGTAGAGCACAGAGAGTGAGAACGAAAAATAATATTTGATTCATGAACGAATTTTTGACAGAACTATCTAACTCTCTTGACTATCAGAGGAAAAAATAAAGACAATAGTTACACCCCATTTTTTTCATAAAGAACAAACAAAATTGTAATTAGTAGAGTTTTATTTCTAAAACGAATCAAACTAATAAAAAATAAACATAGCTTACGTACCCTTTCATTCAAAACTACGCCATCGTTGCTTAAATAAAGTTGGAATACACTACTAGTTTAAAATCACAGTATTATATAATTTGTGTAAGCCTATGAAACACACCTATATCTCGTAATTACAGTTTAATTTACATTAAATACTAGCTTCAATGACAGCCCCACTTTGTGCATGCGCATTAAAATCCAATATCTGCGCATACTCGTCAAACATCCAATATGTATTGGATCTGATCCAGCTATGTCATCGTACTACAGGCTGCAGCGAGGACCTCTTGCACTTTTTCCTTCCACTCAACTTTCTGTTAACATGCTTGGATACAGCACTCTGTGAACAGCCAGCTTCTTTGGCAATGAATGTTTGTGGCTTACCCTCCTTGTGAAGGGTGTCAATGATTGTCTTCTGGACAATTGTCAGATCAGCAGTCTTCCCCATGATTGTGTAGCCTAGTGAACCAAACTGAGAGACCATTTTGAAGGCTCAGGAAACCTTTGCAGGTGTTTTGAGTTGATTAGCTGATTGGCATGTCACCATATTCTAATTTGTTGAGATTGTGAATTGGTGGGTTTTTGTTAAATGTGAGCCAAAATCATCACAATTAAAAGAACCAAAGACTTAAACTACTTCAGTCTGTGTGCATTGAATTTATTTAATACATGAGTTTCACAATTTGAGTTGAATTACTGAAATAAATGACCTTTTCCACGATATTCTAATTTATTGAGATGCACCTGTATATACAGTTTATATATATATAAATGTTTTGTTTTTTTTTTGGCCAAAAATTCATGATATCAAAGATGAAGCACTATGCACAGGATATATAAAACAGCATATTAGCTACACCTAGATGGCAAATACGACTCTTCTCCACTCTTTAAACACAAGAACATTAGCCTTTGTAGACGTGGTGTTTGTTGACAAAACACTGTACTCATTCAAACATCAGTTTTTTAATTTATCCTTGCATTGCGAACAAGCAGAGATCTTTCTCCAGACTGTGCACGGCACTTCATTCTGAATGGAGGGGGAGTTGGAGTGATTAGGTTTCACTGACAGTTTGAGGATCCAATGGAGTTATGAGATTTAGTCACAAGCTATTTGAATGCTTTTCATTGACTAAATATTTGAAAAACCTACAAACAGACATAAATATGACCAATACCATTGATTTAAAATAAAAATAATAAAGAGAGAGAAAGTTTTGATAATTTTCCACAGCTCACACTAGTGTGCTGCGCGCAGCACAGTGGTTGGGAAACACTGACCCACAGTATGTTGCTAAGCTAACATCACAATACTGTAATAAGCATAAAAAATATATCACACAGGATATAAAACACGTAAAATAACTTTTTTTTTTTTAAATTCAACTATCAATATTTCTTGGCATTGAATAAATTATAAGTAAACTCTTTTGCAATCCTAGATGGATTATTTTTAAAAACCTTTTTGCACTGAGCTTGCTACAGTGCATTCTCAGATTACCTTCTATAAAAGATTCAAGGCTGCCTTAGAACTTCTCTTAGTTTGTTACATGATAGCCCAAACAACTTTTATCTTGTAATTTATGGATGGTTATGTCTCTGAATTATGACTGAATCAAATTCGAAGCGCTCAAAAAATATTTAAAACACCTCAGATCACTCATATTAATGTGTATCATTGTTCAACTTAAAAGTGTCTAAGGCCCCGTCCACACGGAGACTGTATTAGCTGTATACGCATACATTTTGTATCGTATAGGCGTTTCGTCCACACGGATCCGGCGTTTTGGCAGAGTGAAACCGATATATTTTGAAACCGGGTCCCAGAGTGGATAAATCTGAAAACGCTGCCCTTGCGTTTTCGTGTGGACAGCAAATCCGTTTTCTGAAACAATGACGTCATCAGCCCACATCTCGCCCCTAGTCAGACACAGCTACTTCACATAACAACAAAAACATGAACAAACACTGAATGCTTGTCTTTTTATTAACTAACATTAACACAGATTAATAAATGTATTGTTCCATGTTCGTTTGTATACCTCGCGCAAAGTTTATGCACATAGTCCAAGTCTTCTTCTCTGTTTTTAGTGTATCTCTGTGGCAGAATTACAGCGCCACATACTGGTCTGGCATGTATACTACATAGTTTTGTATCGGTTTTGTGGTTTCATGTGGACGCAGATATTTCTTGAGATGAGGGGAAAAAAAGATTGGATAGGGAAAGCTCTGGATTCGTGTGGACGTAGCCTAAGCATGACAGTCTGTGACCATATAGTGATCTTAGCAGAGTAAGATATATCTTTTTAAGGTGTATTTTTTTTTCTGTGAAGTTTGACTTCAAGGGTTATTGCATAGGAGGCTTGACTATTTTTTATAAATAAAGCCTCCATAAGATATATATGTTTTACTACTCTCATAATTTCCAATACCCTTTCACCCTTTGCATGCGACTTACTAATATAGATTATTGCAATAAAAATATTTGTTCACTTTTGGAGAGTTTGAAAAAAATGATTCATAGCCCAGAAGTTTTTTTTTTCTTTTCTCCTGTCATCCTGGATTCGTGTGGACGTAGCCTAAGCATGACAGTCTGTGACCATATAGTGATCTTAGCAGAGTAAGATATATCTTTTTAAGGTGTATTTTTTTTCTGTGAAGTTTGACTTCAAGGGTTATTGCATAGGAGGCTTGACTATTTTTATAAATAAAGCCTCCATAAGATATATATGTTTTACTACTCTCATAATTTCCAATACCCTTTCACCCTTTGCATGCGACTTACTAATATAGATTATTGCAATAAAAATATTTGTTCACTTTTGGAGAGTTTGAAAAAAATGATTCATAGCCCAGAAGTTTTTTTTTCTTTTCTCCTGTCATCTTAATTTGAACAACAGTGATTGGACTGAAACATATTAAAATATTCAGTTCAGAGATTGAGATGTGAGGCAAAAGTAGACACTGTTCAGACTGTCAATTGATTATAAATATAAATAAATACTTACATGATATGTTAATTTATCAAATGTAATATATATAACTATTTCAGATGTTGGTTGTTGTCACATCTCACATTTCACCATTTTTCAGTGTCTCACATCATGAGTCCTATTTATAAAATATTATGCCAAGTTAAAAACAGTTCAGCTTTTGTCTCAAAATGCCTGCATTCTAACAATGTTTGGATCATTCTTCTTTGACATCTTTGGAAGTCCCTGATATACTGTAGTGCAGGCATCCACAAACAATATGTCTGTGCTATTCTTACAGACATTCTTGAAAGAGCTTTTGCCTTAACCTGTAAGTCAACTATATGTGCCTCTCATCAGAAGCCCTTTACTATGCTCAGCCAAGATGGATGCAACTTTAGCAGCAAAATATATTTAATATTTTACAAAATACAAGCAACTCTAACTTCCTTCTTTGAGTTCTGTTGACAACTCTCATTCATGTTGTGAAATGCATGGTGGCCGTGGCCAGTTGGAATTCAGTTATGGGACTTTTAAATCTCTAAACAGTTCCTAGATAGCAATTTAATGAACTTACTTCAATAGATGAACTCAGTGGGTATACAACAAATATAGAGTCTGATGACATTACCTCTAAAGCAAAGAGCACTTTAGCCACTATAACATTTCAAGAGGCAACAATATTTATTCATGGGCTTTTATTTTATGTGCCCTAAGCCTTGTGCCATTGGAGCCTTGACATCTCCAACATGCATCCTGGACCTCTCTCAAGGCTGCCGGTGAGATTACTTGGATCTGGATAAAACCTTTTGTGCTATGTAGTGTTGGGTTGTCAACCTAAACTCTAACTTTGCCAAATTTTTCAGTATAGCATGATGGTAGTTCAACTGTGTAGCAGTGTAGTTCTTCAAAACACTAGATCACTTTTTTTGTTTTCTCACGTAACATTGCATTATGCTTCTATGCAATTTTATATTGTCTTGTATAAATTAAGTTGGTTATATTGATTCAGTAGATATAAGATACCACCAGATTAATCAGTTTGGCCAATATATTTTTTGTTATTTTATCTTTTTTTCTTTCCTTATAACTTCAGAATATACACATTAAAACATCTTAATAACAGCTTTTAACTATTAATTATGTTTGGATGTATGTCATGGATTTCTAAATGAAAGCTATGATGATAATAAAATAAGGCATTAACTGAATGTCATTGAATAATAAAATAAAACTTTTTCATCATCGGTAAGCCTGAGAATAACATCTCTCCACAGGCCGTGAGCTCCCTTACAGACAGGCATTAGCTTAAAAGGTTTTTGAGACTTTCAGTGAGAGTTATCTGTAATTGAAACAGGGAATTTTTGATTCTACCGATATGTTGATTAGCTACTGAGTCATTCCACTAAACATTCACTAAATCCCCATGTGTAATAGTTCATGCAATTATAGTACAAATAACAAGCCATATTTCCATAACATATTTGTGATTTGGTTCATTGAATGGGCACACAATAAGATACAAACAGCATGTGTCATTTAGTCCTGTTTAGATAATAATCAAGAAATTCAATGTTTAAACGATTGTGTTCAAATATGATTAGAACTGCATTGCCTTGTGTCGGAAGTAGCGATGCACATTGCACCAGTGGATATAATTTTAGCCTGCATGAAGTCATGTTGTGCTTATTGCTGGAATTTGTTCTGCATCACAAATTACAGTAATTAGTCGATATAACCATATTTGGAAAACTATAATTATTATTTACTGCTGTAGATCTTTATAAATCAGGCTAGCTCCCTTACATTTAGTGCTGATTTCATAGTTAATTTTAAAGTAATATGTACCAAATCATACATTTTAATAATGCAGCCCCAAATGACTCTTACATTTTATTTTTAATGTGAATTGTTATTAATTAGACATGTCAATTTAACATGCTAGTTTTAGTAAATGAATTACATAAAAAGTAACTCAATATAAAATAAATAATAATCATGCCCCTAGACCTGTACATGAAATCTGTAATAAGCAAATGTCCTAATTGAAGCTTGAAGCTGATTTCATTTTTAAAATTACTATCCAGCCATATAATTAATGAAATCAAGCTTTCACATAAACATAAATACTAAATTTATGCATCATTAAAATTGGTATACATTCACCTGTCAATACATGCCCATTCCCTGCTATGATTGCTTTGAACATTGAAGGTCTGCACAAGAAAGTCATTGAACACTGTCTAATATATCAATTGTCATCATGGCTCTTTTAGTGAGCCTGAAATTATGTGATTATGTATTCAGTCACAAGCGTTTCAACATATGACCCCTGCATAGTGGACACAGACGAAACGTGGGAATTTATTGACTGTTGACCTCAAGTTGTCCACCATGATGATAAGACCTACAAATCAATACAGAGTACTATTGGTAAGACAATTAAGGCTGCTTTTCTAGTTCTGGATTACAAGGTGGTCCACTGCAAGGGCAGAGCAGCTTTGCTTTGTCAATGCAGGCTTTTATATTAATCTCTGTAATGCCTTGAAGCCAAGAAAACAATAATGCAGTGCAGTGAATTAAAATCACTACATCATTCTTCTGTGATCCACCCATGGTCAGCATTATTTTGGATTCATTTTGAATTGACATTTTATTGAGTTGCTTAAAACAAAGATAATTAAGTTCCACATGGTTTTTAGCCCTGTCAGCAAAACAAGTATCAGTAAAAGCAAAATAAAATATTGAATTGAGAACTGGATGAAAGTCAAGCATGTATGATATTATCATAAGTTTATACCATATAGTTTTCAGAGAGACTGTCTCGCAAATATGGAATTTGTAATACCAATGACCAATACAATGCAACGCATAATGCAGTTTAATTGTGGAAAAAGAGAAGTACACTGATATAAACAAATGAAGATTTCATATGTTAACTAAGGGTTACCAACAGGAGGTTGTTTGAAGTAACTCTTCACTGGTGCTTTGGAACAGACATACCACAAATAAGCAAAGTTTGGGTTAATCAACTGAGAATTCACCGTATATGTGATGGTTAACCAAATTGGGCTGTATGCCTGTAATACTGCCATTGTGTATAAGACACCCTCAGCCTGTCCCACTGCTGCATACGCCCAGCTGTTCAAATGTGAAGCCGGATCTAGACGGCAGGGTCAAAGCTTTCAAAGAAGATGCATCACCCTGAGAGAGATACCCCGTGAGCATTGGGACGCATCCTCACATGCTCCCTCTCCCGCAATAATTCAAATAATGGAAGGGATGAATGCAGACTGAATGTGGTCTCTTCCATGATCTCTCTACCTCACCGTGGAGATCAGGAAGAAACGGAAAGCTCACAGGAGAGGAACGGCTACAGAAAATGCTTGTCAAGTCTGCCACGAAAGACTTCATGCCTCTCGGAATCGAAATCTAGCTGTAGCATGGGACATCACATCCAACAGCTCCTTCTGCTTTATATGCGGCTGGCAGGCTGGGAAAGCTCACTTGTAACATCTTCGACCTCCTCAGCCATATCCACCTCTTCCTGGCTGGATGGTGCCAGCAAAATGATCTGCTGGATCAGAAGACTCAAGAGATAGAATATCCCTGTACAGCAGATTGCTCGAATGGGTAACAGAGGAATAGAGGAACGAGAGATACCTTTCTCAAAATCCTCCGCCAACTCAACCCGTGATCCCCACAAACTCAATCTTCACTGCGCTTCAGTGGTTCTGGAGCCATGGGGCACAGACGCCTGTCCAACATCCTTTGAGAACAGACAGGCATGAATGTAACTTTCTCATTGTGAACTTCTCACAATGAAGCACATTCAGCTCCCTCAAGAAATGAACATGCATCCTCACCTAAGCACATAACGCACAAGTTGTGTGTATCCTCAGGTGTCAGATATCTAAGACAAAACACTTCCTGAAACTCATAGCTGAGTGTTCAATAATAGTCACCTTCTCATGCTGCTACAGAAACAAACGGCTCCTGAAGACATGTTGATGATGTTCACTGCAGACACCCACGTATTCCCTCTAGCTCACTGATGGAGACATCATGTGCTGTCATTGGCCAAGTCACCCCGGTCACACTGAGGACATTACCCACAGTGTCTCATCAGATCTAGTGCAGAGTTCCCAATTGAAAGGGAACTGAGCCTTTTGAAAACAATCTCCCAAGTGGATACATTTGTGTGGACTGTGAAATTGGAATTATTTGAAATCAATGACATGTGTTGAGTCATGTTTCACATATTGTACATAATCATATGTTATTTAAATTGTGATCACATTATTTGAAAATAGTGCCGATAACTAGGTGACTATTATTGAACACTCAGCTATGAGTTTCAGGAAGTGTTTTGTCTTAGATATCTCCTGTGAGCCTTCCGTTTCTTCCTGATCTCCACGCTGAGGTAGAGAGATCATGGAAGAGATCACATTCAGTCTGCATTCATCCCTTCCATTATTTGAATTATTGTGGGAGAGGGACCATGTGAGGATGTGTCCCAGTGCTCATGGGGTATCTCTCTCAGGGTGATGCATGTTCTTTGAAGGCTCTGATCCTGCGGTCTAAAGCGTTAGGAACCGGCTTCACATTTGAACAGCAGGGCGTATGCAGCAGTAAGACAGGCTGGGGGTGCCTTACACACAATGGCAGTATTAAAGGCATGCTTGTACCTTGCATTGTTGCGTCTGCTATTCACTTTAATAATGCTGATGCAAATAAATGGGTAACTATAATTTAGGGACCAATTCTCACTATTAACTTGTTGCATATTAGCATGCATATTACTAGCATATTGGTTGTGTACTTATAAAGCACATATTGTGCATGACCATATTCTACATCCCTTAATCATACCCAATACCTAAACTTAACAACTACCTAACTATCTATTAATAAGTTGTTATTAGGAGTTTATTATGGCAAAATTTGTAATTAATTTTTAGTTTAATTGTGAGAATGGGACCTTAAAATAAAGCGTGAATAATACATGTTGCTTTGTACAATCTTCATATTACATTTATACAAAGATGACTGAATATTTTCATGCAATTGCTGTCCTGCAGTAAAAGATGATGACAGTTGCGTTTAGACAATACAATGAATGCAGATCTTAAGTTTGACCTGGACGCACCAGTGAGGGGTGGTGGGATATCAGGTAGTAAAAAGATTGTGCCAAAAGAATACAATGAGAACTTTATGTCTGTTATTTTGTCTGTGTGAATGAGCAACTTTTGGAAAATGCAAGTGTTGACCTTTTGAAATGAAGATACCTTTTTCAAATATTTCTGGATTACTGTGGATTAACATTAGCATTAGCCCAAAACTGTCGTCATTTAGAAATGAATAGCCATGATTTTGGACCTCTGATTTGAAAACCTTAAATGAGCAGATCTCTTTTAAGAGTTCAGTGTACATGCCCACTGCTATGATTGGGTAGTATCTTTGCATATGAAATAAGTATTACATGTGGAACTCTTATGAAAACTTGTCAAACTTGACCTCTGCTAAAATTAAGACTAAATGTTGATTACAGCATTATACTGTATTTAGATATACTCCCATTGGATAAAAAGTTGCAGCACTGAGCATCATAGCCAATCACAGTCATGGCTGTTGCAACACAATTTTGGCATTCTTTTTTTGAATGCTTTTATAATAACAGTGAATACACAACGCAAATATAGGATTCATTGAGCAGTGTTGATCATTGATTATAATTTATTATAAAGTGCAGAACTGAAATCAATGATAACCTGACCCTGATTTACAGCTCCAATGACTACTAAGTGATTAATGGAGTGTTCTTGCTCTATTTTGTATATAATTTGATCACCATTTAAATAGCATATGATTTCCAAGCTACTAAGAGGACCAGTGTAAAATACCCATTTAGTCACTGGCTTGATTTACTGATGCATAAGCCCTATTCGGACAGGACTAGTTTTCCCAGAGGATGTTAGAGAGTTTTGTGAAGAAAAATATGTACTTTGCCATTTTAATCCTGTCCAAATCTGCCAAGTCTGTGCTTTTCTCACAAAACCTCTGTAAAAATTCTGGAGAAAATTACATACCTTTTTTCAGCTAACTTAATGGTCCTCTGAGAAATCTAATCCCAATTTGAAATAAAATCGCAAAGAAATCACAAAGTCTGTCAAATACGAATTTCTCTAACATCCTTCAGGAAAATTTGTCCTGTCCGAATAAGACCTGTCATTTTAACATCAGTCAATGTCAAAAACCAAATATGGGATGGCTAAAATGTGGCTGCTAAGAGGAGACCCTCTTCTCGCATCCTCTGCATCACTGCAGGAAGCAGATTTATCAGCAGTAAAACATACAAGCGGACCATTG